GATCCCATTTTGACGACATATTTTTTTTTAACAGGTGTATCGTCGGCTACGCGAGCGGTTTACTTCACTTTCATTCGGAAACTCCCAGTGTTAACATTTTTGTACAAATCCATCGAAAAAATAATCACCCTCCAAATATTATTTCTTTGCACATTTTTTTGGAAAGCCAAATGCGAACAATTTGTTGCTCATACATTTCCGCACGAATGCAGACGAGGGGGAAAATATTTAATTCAAGTACATGTATACATTAAACAGAAAATAATTAGTCCTGCGAATTGAGAGGTAGAAAAACCTTCAGTATTTTTCTCTTAAGACAAAGAATAAAAAATTATAAAGTTGAAAATCATAATTAACTTTTATTAAATCGTATTGAAATCGTAATTTACGTTCAGATTTTTGGGTATACACCCGGTAATAAAAAGTGTAAAAGTGTTTTTGGTGAGTGAAGTAATGTTCTCGGTTGTTCCGTTGAAATGGGGAGGGGTGAGTAAATTTTTAAGTTAGCAGCGTAGAGGATAGTCCAGTTATTACGAGTTTTTGCAACATCTAATGGAAAATTCCGAGTGTGATTCAAAAGACAGAGTATAACTGGGGATTGAAGGGAGTTGATGCAGAAAAAGCAGCAGACAGTACAGAGGGAATGCGAATGTGTATGACGCTTTAGCGTTCACATCCTCATCTGTTCCTAACACAGAGTGGTCACTGGTAGAATTTCATAACTTGCCCTTTGGCCTCTCTCACACTCTCTGTCACTGGTGCCAAGTGACATTGGCATGCATATTGCCGAGCAGCACAAACCAGACATCCAATACCGATCCCTAACCGCAATATTCCATTAAAGCCCAACGCTCTTCTCCTCTCAGTCTGTCTTTATTTGCATCCTTTAGCCATTGAAAAAATTCACATTGAAAATCGTCAATAGCCACATTTGTATTTCCCCTGTTTCAAATCGAATCAATACTTTATTGCAATCGAACTCTGTACACAATCGATTGAATCGATCGTAAGCTATCTGAAAAAAAAAAAGAAACAAAAAATGCCACTTAATTATAATGAATAAAAAAAAATAATTACCTTTCCGGCTTCACCGAATATTCATTGTGAAATTGTATTGAATTTATTCTTCTAATGCAATAATAATCAAAACAATGAATGAATCTGGTAAATGAACAATTAACTGAGTCTACATGAGAATTCAGGAGGAAAAATAAAAAATTATTCAATTTCCTGGGCATATTACTCCCCTTTGAAAGATAAAGCGCCCAAGGATGTCTTGCACAATAAGAGAATACTGTTCAAGTGGCTGGACAATAAAAAAAATGGAGAGATAATAGAGAAAGTACAGAGGGAAGAAAAATGGAATGGATTTGAAAGAAAATACCATCAGTAACGATTGCACTCGAGTGACTTCCTCTTTGCCTCCTTATGGCTCTCCATCTCTGAGAATCCCGCCTGATGCTCGGGACGGACTTAAGTGGACGATAAGAATAGAGTCAAGTCATACCTATAACACCCAAGAGAATGCTTTCATCTAACTATTTTTTCTCCTCATGTCTCACCCTACAATATCTCGTTCTTCCCTTCATTCTTTCACTCATTCGATCGATGAACTAGTATTTTTCCTCTCTGGTTGTCATTTTCATTTTTTCGTGGAAAAAAAAAATATTCAATGTCACTCGATCAATTTAAGATCTTACACCGGATTCACGACGAGAAATTCAATATTAATATTTCCATTCTAATTTGAATATTCACTGAGTAGCATTGAATGATCAGCAATTCTGAAATTTTCTTGTTCTCTTTCCATCCCGAAGGAGTGAAAAATTAATTTAGAGCTGTAGAGTTCCGTGGGTATCGAAATAAGCAATTCATATTTGCAGTATTTAAAAGGAACAGATGTTGCTCCCTGAAAAAAATTCAATCTACGAGAAATGAAGTTAAACTCGCATTCCATTTATTCCGGAGGAACAGCAAAACTGAAAGACGAGTGAAAAACTTATTGAAAGCGTTGATTACCGCTTGATTCTCAAACACTTCATGTAGAGGTGAGAAGAGAAAAAGGAGAGAATAAAAAATGAAAAAGGAGAGGAAAACAAAGAAAAATGGTGGCTGGGGTGGATTTTGTGGGTGTGCAGGGTGCACTGGTTGCCGGAATCAGTATTCGACTCGCGAATTGCGGAGAGCAACGAAAAAGGGTGGGACGATGGAAAGGGGTGGGCTATTTTCCCTTTTCTCCCCTTTTATTCTTTTTTACCCTTTTCTCCCTTTTCTCTATTTTCTCCCTTTTCAGAAGAGGAACGAAGGAAGGCAGTAGGCCAGTCACGAGCTCATGGGGAATTGGTAAAATGCAAATCGAAGGGCGGATCCGCGATTTACGGCTGAAACAAGGATGCTACTTAAATTTTCGACATAAATGTCCCTTTCCATGCGCCAAGGGAATTTGACCTTAATAGGGTGCGCTAATTAACGTCATGGTGGTATGGTATCCACTATCTTAATAACCTCGGCAACTCGCTAATTTGATGATCGAGGGGACAACTTCCCTTAAGTGGCTATTATCTTATCGATAACAGGGTCATGGGAATAATCGTAAGAATTTATTCGAGAAATTTCATTTCCTGCATTCAATCATTTCGTTTGAAAATTTCTTGGTTGCCAACGGAAATCGTCAGTATTTATTAAAATGGAGATGATGAACAACAAATTTGAAAAAATCAAAGTTCCTCCGTTTTTTCCTGAACGTTCAGTGCAGAAATTACCGATAATAATTTAATGAACAGGAATTATTCAGATGTTAGATGATTATCTGATCGATAATCCGTTTTTTTGTGCCAGAATCAACAGAGATCAATACTCAACTATAATTTATCGCTGGAATGCTGAATGAGAGTGCCCCTGTCATTTATCGTACGACAGAGTGTCACTCGAGCTCCTCAGCCCCAGCGATAACGCACACCCGGAAGTTTATTCATAATTAATAATTTTAAATTGCACCACTCGATGCACTCGACTATCAAGCAGGCATTTAACGTCATGTTGCGAGCGTCATATGCTAACTGAACAGTCTGCGTTGAAAACTTTAATTTCAACCGTTCAAATGTCAAAATTTCCTCGTCGCTGAATATAAACAGATAAAAAAAATTAACCAGCAAAATAAAAATTGCCTCTGTAATTCAATAAAGAGTTTGAGTTGGTCATACCGGGCAATTCATTCTCAATAATTCACCAATTGCGAATTACCCGAATTTTTTTCTCTCTCTGATTGAACAAGGCAGTTCAGTTAATTACAATTAATGATTTAGCAAGTCCGTCGAATCTCGCGATTTTATACCTTTCCCACATGTACCGAGACGCAGTGACGCCCGATGTATAACAATTAAAAAAAAAACAATCACAAAAACCAGAATTGGAATAAAAATCTGGTCACCTGATCCGCACCACAGGATCATTTCCTCGGTATGACGATTCAAAAATTATGGATAAATCAACCAAATAGTTTATCAAAGCAAGTGAAACTCAACAAATTGCATTGAATCGTCACGCCGACGAATAATTAAATAAATAATAATAAACTCAGCCCGACATTTTGCGCCCTTTATGCTCGAGCCTTTATCTTGAAATAGTTAATTCGATAAAACAGTTGAAAAATACTGCAGAAACGAACTTGAACGTCAATAAAACATTGGCCATTCAATGTACTGTAAAAAAACAATTATATATTCATAATTATGTATATCAATTATGTAATATATGCCAGAAATGATGAAACAATTCAACAGAATGATCTATATCAATTAAAAATATCATGTCAACGATCAGAAAGAATATCCATTTTTCCAGAGCATTTAAGATACAAAATATTTTTAAATATTTGCGGAAGAATCCGCATAAATTTGTTGGGCTCTTCTATTCTCTCAGAATTTCCTACGCTATATCTGTGGACTATTCTTTAAACATCTAAAAGACTAACGACTCCATTATTAAATATTCAGCCCAAAAAATTTGTTCACGGATTCTCGGATATTCATTCCTGTATCCCCCAATGTTGAAATGACTTGGCAAAATGAAAAATGAAAAATATTTTCTCTTCTCTGAGTACCTCAGCTCAATTTTCCCCCACCACCTCATTAGCTGAGCAAATCGATTATATTACGATCTAAAATATGATAAATCGTCGTGAGAACCACTCGATCGAATGAATTTCATCATTTCCTCTAACAGACGTCCAACAGTGCATCGCACGAGCTTTTTAACGAGACGACGCTGACGAGCCATTCCTAAAAACTCAATGAAATAAACGAAACAATGAAACAAATGAATAATTATCTCAGCAATCGTTAATATAAGGTTCACATGATTAATCAATGAAATGATTGTCATTCGTTTATCATTTCTGTAATGCTGTATCGGCACCTTGAAACCGTCATAGGTCCAGGAGCCTAACTTCAAAACACAGGTCTGTACGTCGTAGGGAAAGAACTCAACGTCGATGGAGCAGGAGGATTTATAAACAGCTGGTGGTTGCCATACGACCAGTCCCGAATGGAAGACAATGGCCTTGGTCATCAGGGTCACCTCGTAGTTACCATCAGCGCTGGAATCACCGAAGAAATAACCCCAAACCTTCATCTCGAATAAATTCCTGAAAGTAATCAATGCGAGCATACCTGCCCATATCGTCACCAACATTCATCCGGAATGTTCATTTAGTCATCATCACAACACCAGGCGGGTATCCTCTCTGCGCTAAGTCCCAGTGCTCCATGATATTTTTATATTGTTTAAACATCCACGATATCTCGATATTCATTGTTAAATGGCACTTTATACCGGCTCTTTCAAGCGCACTGGGATAAATTTGTCTTATACCTATCGATTATTTTCACCGGGTGGTTCAACGACCGCGCAAAATCGTATCCCCCTCCAGGAGTAACGCCTTAACCACAACAATTGTCTTAATCTATTGTGATAACAATTTAGCTACCATGCGAATTTACCTTGAAGCCGTCGTAAGTCCACGAGCCAAACTTGAGTACGCAGGTCTGCTCGTCGAATGGGAAGTACTCCACGTCGATTTCACAGGAGGATTTATAAATTGCCGGTGGCTTCCACTCGACCAACCCCTCGTGGTAGATGGTGGCCTTCGTCGCCAAGGTCACCTCGAAGTTTCCGTCCGCGCTGCGAGCGAGCACATTAGTGGTTCTGGGCGCTGCGGCGGTTCGAGCTTACTTTGTACTTACGATTCAATAACAAAGCCCACGAGCTTTTTTTTTTCTTTTTTTTTTTTGGCTTTTTGGGGTTTTTCGGCAATCATTTGCTCAATTCATTCATTGGTCTACTTGTCACGATTCGGTGGAAGAAAAATAGAGAGAGAGTTGAGCGGTTCCTGGGGATTTTTCAGAAACAACGGACTTGGCGCCTTGAGTATTTCGATTCGATTTCCATTCGATCTCGATTCGAGGCACAGGGGCAATCAAGATTTCGAGAATTTAACTTGCCCTCGGTGACACAAGTGAATTATTTTTTTTCATTCTTTTTCTCAGTCAATTGTCGCTCCGAACGATTATGTGGATAATTGTTTCTACAATTTCATGAAATATATCAATATTAATTCAGCTGAATTATTTGATGAACTTGGCATGAACCAGTAAAATTGACATAAACAATTTCTTGAAATTTCATTTAACGAGAAACTAGCAATAATTAAAAATTAATTAAAATGAAAAAAGGTCAATCAATCAATGATTTTTTTTCAGCGCAGAGGAAGACATAAGATCTTTTTTTTTTTTCAGGAACCTGAAGTGTCGCGAGTACCACAGCAAAAAAAAAAAATCCGGTGTCTGACCAAAATAAATAATAATCACTTGAGTTGATCCAAGAAATTATGGCTGAAGTGATCTATCTCCGGCAGGAGTCTTTTATTTTTAATAGATTGGGTGAATAAAGGGAGTTAAATAAACTGCCACTGTCTCAATTTCTCGATGGCTCCCGGCGACTCAATTCAACTCGAGATCCGACTTCATTTGACTCTATTTTTTCCTTTTTTGATTACCCAGTTGCTCTATCCTGTTGTGTTTACCGACTACGCCTCGTTTAGCCGAGGATTTTCCCCAAGCAGAAAGAAAGATGATTGTGCATCGTGTTGTAGCTATATACCTCTCCTCCCACGTTTTATTCGACGCTGAGTGCATCTACTTTAGCTTGGAAAATGCCGAGGTAATGTGTGCTAAGAGTGTGTGAGTGTCTGCATAATAGACTCAAATGCACTTTTTTATATCGAGAGAGAATGGCCCCGCTCTTGATGTAATAGTCGAGTCTCGTTTAATCGATCTCGATAAAAGGTTTTTATATTTCTCGAGTCAGCGGGGGTTGGGTAATTTAAACGGCAGATTGAGTAAATAACTGCCGCCATTGTTTAATAAAAATAGGAAATTCCGTGGGTTGATTAGTCACTTACTAAACGCGAAATCGATTTAAATGCATCAATGGAAATATCAAATTGAGCGTAGACTCATCCGATTTTTAATTCTAGTCATTTTTATTTTTAAGGATAATTGGCGGGTGATGGTGAGAAAATTTATAAAATTTATCTCGAGGGAGGAAGAAATCTTCATTTAATGTAGAACCAAAATTACGCGGTCAGAGTTCATGTGGAAATTCCTGGAATGCAGACGACAGTGTGAATTTACCACCTCCGGTTAAACTCAGTCATACGTCAAAGTTTCACACCACCAAGTTTACTTTGAAGATGACACACACCAGTGGGTTAAGGAGTTTCAAATTCCACATCGGCAAACGGATTGTCCACCGGTAAATTCAACAATTTTCACTGCGTCGATTTGCGAGTGAATGGTTTGAATCGTTAAGTCCACTTCATTTGAATTGTGAAGTGAAGTGGCAGGGGATTCAAGATATTTGTCCAGCTGGTTCAAAGGACATCAAGTCGTTTGGAAACATCTCAACTTCTCCGTTGAAGAGGGAAGTTGAGTCGTTTACACTGTTTTCATTATTTTTATTAATTTCAATTTGAATCACGATGAACACCGACAAACTCAAAATCGCCAAGGATTAATTTATTTGCGGAGTAATTGGAAGAGTAAATTTTTTCATTAGCTTATTTATCCAATTCATCAATGACCAGACGAATTGTGGATATCTTGACATGCCAATTGATTATCAATATCGATTGCCTATATATTCGATATTATATTAACGTGATATTGATTACGTAATTATAAAAATCATGATTGAGCATCTCAAATGAATTATGAAATTGAATGAGTTTTAAATTTAAATTCGCCACTGAGGAACAGGCGTGACAGAATTTCGAGATATCGATAGTGTGCGAGTTCTTTTGAGAATATGATGATGATGATTTTTCCGGCAGAGGTTTGAATGAAAAAAAAAATCAAAAAACACATGGAAGAAGATGAAAGAAGATGAAAGAAGATGAATATATGGACGTGTGAAGCACTCGAACAGAGTATCGATATTCTCCAAGAGATTCCCGCTGAAATCACGCAAGACAATACACACGTCGGTTGTGTTTGGCAAACAAGCAGCCTCTGCCTAGGTACTGAAGGTAAACAGCAAACAATTCAAGTGAGCAGCCTGTGATGCACGACAGCCAAGCCAAACTTGTGGTATTGGCAAAAAGACCAAACAATCGACGACCTTCGCAATTGTCTTCCATTGATGGCACCAGGGTTCAATATTTTTTTTTTACTTCAACCCGACTATTCAATCACATATCACCCCAAACATCGGTCTTTCCAATTCCTATTTATATCCAACCGAAATGACATGAATAAACCGACTGAATACCGATTTCCCGGAGTTCAAACTCAAACGTAGCTTGAGGCAATTTCAAACCGTCAGATTTGTTTGAGGTTCTGTTTATATTAAATAAATGTCTATTTTCTAGATCATCGGGTCGTTATGTCGTTATATCGTAAGTCGTTTCATTTTTCGGATGAAATATTGTAAAATTTCTCAATTTTCGGGTAATAAATCGATGAAAACCAATAAAAAGGGGTAAAAAAAAATAAGAAAATGGAATGCCCCTACATCCCCATTGTTAACTCGTGCCAATAAAAATCGCCATCCCTTATTATCGACCTCTGTACCGAGATTAGAAGCGATAACGAAACTGTAACCAACAGGCTCACCCTGTGGTCTTCCTTTTTTCACTCCCCATGGGTTTGATCCTCACCAACCAACAGTTTTCATCAGCGAGCAAGGAACTTCAATTTCACTTAACCTCATGGTATATAGACCACCCAAAGACTCGTTCACCGACAGTTTCTATCGCTCCTAGATCCCGCCCCATAGAGCCAACTGCATCTCTAGGATATTATATAGCCTCTCTAGTACGAGAGCAACCTCTCGGTACTCACCACTGATAAAGAGGCGGACAGGGAGAAAGGCCCTATTCCACGAGAATACACTTCAGAAAATTTAGTAAAATAAAATAATAAAGAGGAGAAACTCCCACTTCCACTTATCCACCAAATTGAGTGGTGGAGCCATTTTTTTGCTGTTATTTTTTTTTTCCCTAGAGTTTAAAAAGCTTTTTCAACCGGGTTTTCGTTTTTTAAGGAGTGGATGGTAGATGGAGGATGTCCTTAAAGGAATATTTCGAATTATTAATAATATCATTATTAATAATATTTGTTATTTAATTTTATTTGAACCCGCAATGCTGTCAATAAATCAGAGCGATAACGGAATTGATTAAAGAAAATGGCAATCCGAATGTCATCGAACTTTCCACATTTTTTTTTGCGGCGTTCTGTAATTCTGGAATATTCTGAATATTTTTGGTCGTTTGGTCCCAGTGGAATTCGTACGTCAAGTTCGATTCCTCCTGAGAATGTAACAGAAATGAGATACTAAACAGAGTTTTCAGTTTATCGATAGATATTATTCTCGCTGGTCTTAAACGGCCGTCTCGGGTGAACTGTATACGTCTCACTCGAGACTTAACTTTCTCGCATCTATACCTCCAGCAACCCCACAGCCAAGCCCTTCTCTTGGGCGAAGTGGCCCCCGGGAAAGGAGTTTCACTGGAATCGAATTTACGAGGAGTGATGAGGAGCTCAGTAGTGCGAGTCTATGTGTGTGCAGACAAACTTTTACAGTGTTTCACTCGTCTTGGACGAAATCGCGCCAGGGAGAATGATTCTCGGGATGAGAAACCAGAAGTATCTTTGTACTACTGTAATAATACCGGGCACTAATTTCCGGAATATATATCTCGGCCTATTCAGCTCAACCGCAGACTCCCAGTTTTCCGAGGGGTGGAATTATCAGACTGGGTAATTATTATTCCAGAAGTAACTTTGGGATTCATTCAATTTATTTCCGGGTTCAATGGAAATTCAATGAGGCATTCCTTTTTTTCACCTGAGGGGAGTAAATCTCTGATCGAATTCAATTTACTTATGTACTCTGTCCAGAAAAGATGGAATTTCCTGGGTAACTCACAAGTAATTAATTAACCAATTAAATATCAATTTCTCCGTAAAACACTGAGAGGAGTCAATTAATCAATGCATTAAATTTATCCAATGCAATTGACAATTACAAAAACGGAAAAATTCGAGATACAGCTCAAACAGATTCGTAAAAGGTTATGTACTCAAGTCATTTATTTCCTTCACAACAATATATACTTGAGTCGAGAGGTGCGCCATGAATGTTTCATAGGACTCTTTATTATTTCCCTTTTCCGGTCTGTTGCTGTTGGTCTCGCTTTTTTTTTTCCACTCCTTTTTATATTTTTTTTTCATCTCTATAGCCCAAGCCCGTATTCAATATCGCCGTGGGTCGCAGGGGGGGTGGGCGAAAGGGGGGCTAAAGGGGTAGGTGAAAGGGATGTCGACTGGTACGCGGGGATTACCCGGGGATAAGCGTCAGTACCGGGTTTATTTTTCATTTTCCTCCTAGATAGATTCCGCATTCAGAATGAAGAAGTCTCTCGGTAAAACTTTCGAGTTTACCAAGTGACTTTTTTAAATGAGAAATATTCCTCATCCTCTTAACACTCAGTTTTGTTTTTCATCGTTCATTGACTCTCTCGTTAAATTGATGAAGTTTCAATGGAAATTCGGGGCCGGATTTTTTATTGGAAGGGCGGAGAGTAAAAATAATTCCTGTTTCACTGGAATTTTTATTAG